CTTTTATAACAAGACAAATTTCTATTTTTACTTTTCAATTTGCTTTCTAAAAAAATATGAAATTGCATAAAAATCCGATATCTATACATAACTATGTAATAAAATTGTTTCTTACAAAGATACGTGCTGTTATAACGTATGCTGATCTAATGTGCGCAATTAATGCGTAAATAAGTATACGTAGTAAGTGTAAATAAGTATGTATGTAGTAAATACATAAATACACAATAATTAAAAAAGATAAACATATTATTATTTAGACAATTTTTTGGATATTAATAATTAATTGTAATATTAATTTAAATTGTTCTTGGAATTATAATATTTTTTAAATATTTGACTATAATAATTTTTCTAAAATGTTTTTAATGTATACTTTAATTTTTGCTTATATAATTCTTTTTAATCAAATCGTGTATTTAATATTTAAATATATAATTTTTTAATTACAGTTCTACAAAATCATTATTGATGACTAATTAATTTTAAATATTATTTTAATATTTTAAATATTAATATTACATAATTAAAAATCTTCTTTTTCACGGCGTATGGTAATTCTTGTTGATATAATTTTTCTTTTGATCAGTTACCTGTATTGATATTATAATATATTTAAAGCCGGCGTATTAGAAAAATCATATATCTTCAGCAATATCGAGAAACGATAAATTATTTATTACGTTAAGTATTAAGAATTATAGTACTGACTCGAGATTAGAACGTCAGGGTCGACGATCAAGAAATGAAATGTTCTTTGGATGTGTTATGCAAGCTTAAGGTTATCTTCTAAGCATCACCCTGAGAGATAACTACTATCCTTACGTGTTTAGTAAATAATACGAGGGCATTATTTTTTGTATCATTTTTAGTCTAGATGAGACTGCTTTTTAAATATTTTAGATTAACAATATTTTTCAACATAAATAGCATGTAAACTTATTTTGTAAATAAAATTCTCTTTTTAAACAAAAAAAAGTTTTCCCCATAATCTCAAAGTTTCTTGTACGAAAACATATCGATGGAATTAAAGATTTTGTGATAGTAACATAATCAATAAGGTATATAGTATATTGTGTAATTAAAAGATGCTATATTTATCACAGAGGTTAAACGTTTGATAACTTAAATTGGATACAAAATTTATTTTAAGTTAATCTTTTTAAAGGAATACATTTTTTCCGGTTTACATACCCTTCAAAATTGATCTTTTAAATTTGAAATTTAATGCAATAAGTTCAAAGAGCCATATTCGATTAAGACTGATCTTGCTATCTAATAATATTGTTGCTTTCAATTATATAATTTCTCATTCATGCAACCTGCGCGTCAATTATCTTTTATTAATGAGAATTATAAGAATTATGATTAGAATCTATAAATTATTACATATTTTACGTGTAGAAAGAAGTATTCGATCGAAATTGTTATTATGCGATAACTTCCTTTCTTTTAATCATTTTTTTTTTTAATTATTTAAAAACAAAGAGAGGAGGGAGACGATTAGTAAGAGAGAATGAGTTATACATTATAGATAAGAGATCGAAGAAAGTGATTTTTTTCTAGACCACGCTTCTTTCTTTATCTGTGACGGCGGCGGGATAATTGATTCGTTAGCGCGCGGGTGAGGAAGGGTTGTGAGAGTTCGATGACTTACAATATCGCACAACTGTCATAAGCTAATTAGTAAAAATTAATTCATCACCAGCCTGCGCGCGGCATCTATTCATTGCGAGAAATAGAGTATCGTAATATATAAAATTGCAGTGACTTTAATGATAAAATAATTAAAAATTATACGAAAAGAAAGATATGGTTTATTATACAGTCAGAAATATTTAATTATGAGCAATATCATCGTAATTATCTTTGTGTGATAGGTATGTGTATGGTTGACATGACTTATTTACTTTGATATGTCGACTACATCAATGTAATTATACGTGATCTGGTTGTGGCAATCAAAATTTGTTTGGGGGATTATTTACTATGGATCAGCTATCTATCTGTATAGTTACGTCTATTGATACCACAGTACAAAGCACGATGTGTGTGTGTGTGTATGTGTGTGTGTGTAATAGGAATTAAATGATTAATAAGAATTAATTTCTTAAATTGAAATTTATAACGGTTTTTATGCTCCTTTTCCTAATAATAATTAATTATTTAAAAAATTATTGTCTTATTTGATATTACATTGATTTGTGAGGATGATACCTAAATCAGAAGAAACGTTCAGATTGCACACAAACTTGAGCAATGATTTAATACCAGAAGACACGTTGGCGGTGCACTTTTTGAGGAGAGTTAAATTGATAATTGGTACCAATTCCGTTCTCGTCAATTGTCAAACGCATTGATTAAAACCTTTTTCATGCCGAGGTCTTTCGCACGCTGTCGCAATGGATCAGTTTATTTTGCTGCTTGAAAGTAATAAAATAAAAGTAACGCTTATTGCGCTATAAATATATTTTTTGCGAAATTTAAGCGTGAACAATTTTTATTTTATAAAAGTTTTTTTCGAAATTTTCAATCTCAAAAAGCAAACACAATACAAAAAATGTATAAAGTGTGCATACAAAAAGTTTCAAAAATTTTATTCGTGCTTTTTATTGACGTTTTCATAATGTATACTTTATAAATTAATAAGATTATATTTGTTGGAAAAAATAATGAAATATAAATTCTAAAAATTCCAATCACACAGAAAAAAAAGAAAATATATTATATTATAAACTTCAAAAATTCAGATCTCATAGAGTATATGTTATGGTGTGCGATATGACATGCGATCAGTCATAATTCATGTAATGAACAATAATCCGAGTCGGCGAAGGCGGCGCGCAAAAGAACGACGTTTTCGTCCTTCTCCGTAAGAAAGGGATTAGATAGCCCTATATCCGTTACGTGCTCGTCTTTCATCCTCGACGCTATGCTTATGGGCTGCCATGATGCGCCGTCGTGTAGTTAAGTTAATTAATGAATGGTACAGTCGAGCTGGAGAGTGGACTTAAATTGATACGTCCTTCGCCGCTCGCGCACAGCCATTTTCGTGTCGCCGACGCTCGGTTCGCAGCTGGGGATGCTTGCGATATCAAAATGCATCGATACTGCTCCTTTCATTCTGAACACACCTTTTGGCATCGTTATTTCATTTTCAATAATAAATATCCGAAAGAATGCAGAAAATAGAAACGCTGCATTGTTAAATCTTATACTTTCTATTTGAGTTATTTTTAACCCTTTAAATTGCCACTGTTCTCAATATATCCTTAATGGATTTAAACAATTTAACTCAAGAACTGTATTAATTTGGCTAACATTTAGTTTATTTACTAAGTGCACATGCATTAATAAGAACGCTGTTTGAAATTAAGTAATTCAACTACAGAAATGGATTAATTAGATGTGGTTTTTTAAACTACATATATATATATATATATTTTATATTAAAATAATACTTTTTGATTCATTTATAAATAAAAAATAACAAAATGTTATTTCAAGAAATTGATGTAAATCTGATTCTTTAATTTTTAACAACGTGGCTAAAAAATTATTAAAATAAATTTGAAATATCCTATGTATTTTTGTGTATATATTATTTGTATATATATTTGTTGCTTTCTCATTAATATTTCTACTTGATTATCGCAATCGGTTGTTGTCAATGCCGCAAGGTATCTATGCTTTTGCTGAAAATGGCGGACAGCGTTGGGGTACTCCTGATATTTGAACGAATGGAAATTGAATTCCTATCAAACCTGAGCACGTCTACTCGAAGTAAGTACATGATTTTCTTGCGCTTCTGACAAATTGACAATTCGAAGGGAAAAACTGAGTCACGACTGCAAGGATACGCTTACGTGCATCGCATCATCAAAGAATGCAACTAGGTCGCCGGAACGACAAATCAACTCATCGACATAGATTTCAAGAATCGCGAACACAACACTATGGTCTTTAAATATTCCTCATTAATTAACACGTCGCGTCAACGACAATACCCGTACTCGACGCGAAAACCGATTAGACGGCGAATAAAAAGTTTGATGAATACGCAAATCGTCATTATACATTTATCGAGAAAATATTTACAAAATTAATAGTTTATTTGTGATAATAGCAATGAAATTTATATATTTTGTTAAAAAAAAATTAATTCTTTTAAACGGAAGAGTTTTAAGTCATTTTACTTAACTTGGAGAATTAATAAGATTAAATTTTTTTATAATACTTTCTTTTATATTAATAGAAAATTATTTTTATTTATTATTATATATTATTTATGATAAATAAATAAATTATATTAATAAATAAAAATATAAGCATATATATGTAATTAGTCAGTTATATTTAGCGCGTCTTGTACTTATAATATTGTATTATTATTAATGTTCTGTCCGAATTAACAAAATTGTGTCTCAAGAAATCTAACGCGCGTTTTTACAATAAGACAGTACGATGTGTGTTATATTCATAAACAATATTGATGAACGCGACGAAAAATTCTGTACATCAACATCGTAATCAGCTCGTAATTGTGCAAACAATTTTGCAAATTATAGGCTATCCTATTATTTTCGATGTACACTGCATACCGAAATCGAATAAATAAACTGTCACCTCGTTTCCAAAATCGCTGCCTGTTATCAGTTCTCATTTCACTTGCGCAAAAAAAGTATCGTTTCGTTTCTCTTATCTCAGCAAAAGTAGATATATTCCACATTGAAATAAGCGAGTTGCAATTTGTTTGTAACATTGTTTCCTCAATATTTTACATAGCAGTAAATAGACTCGAACAACAGAATTACGGATATCGTATCAAAAGATATCTACCATTTCCCAGGGGGAGATAATGCTCTTCCTAAACACTACTTTTCCTTTTGACGCGTAAAATCTTTCAACATCTTCGATTACGAAAATGTCAACTGTGTTTAGTTTGACTGTGTCAACTTACTTCAATATCAATCCCTTCTTATCACAGAGAGATTTCTTACCTGCGTGAGGTCTAAGTCCGGACATTTGGAAGCGCACTCCTGCTGAAGGCTGACCGGAATGGCGCGATCCTCCAGATCCTCCGGCAGGAGCGCAGTGACCGCTCCTACCAGCACCAGCACCTTCAGCAGAAAACATCCCGTTGCTAACATAATAACCCCCTCCCCCCCCGTAGATCCTCGCACACGATCAGCTTCCGCGTGATTTTCTATCAGCGGTTCAGCTGCCGATAATCATCGCTCCTCTCGATCTTCTCGATGACTCTTGAATGGCTTAATCGAAACGATACCTCCGCATGGTCCCTTGACAGATCGAGACGCGTCGCGACGCTCGTCGTCGTTACGTGCCGTGGAGGTCACGTGTTGAGCGATCGCATCAGCAAGTGCGTCGGAATTGCGACCAGATTGGCCACTTCCGCTAAATATCCGGAGAAAAATGGCGGGGCGACGCCAGGCGTCCCGGAGAGCGCACGTTGCGCAGTTATCGTGAGGAAACTCGACTCGTTGCTTACGGATTATTTAAATGACAATAGAATTCGTTTATTTGGTGAATACACAGACGTCTCACCACACTGAGAAAATTGTTCTGGTTGTACCAACAAGAAGTACAAAACAAATTTCTATCATATGAAGAAAAATTCTGATTCTGTAATTGAACTTCGGGTTATCTCGACTAGAATGTTGGACAGATTTAATTATCAATGTTCGATTTGTATCTTTTTTTAGTTGAACCTACCAGAATTCCAATTAATGCAACGAGATTTTCTTTTCAGTGTATTAATTCTTTCCGCGTGAAGAAAAAAGTGTTTTTTGATCGCGTTTTCCACGCGCCCGTTTCATGAGACGCGAATATTTATCTTCGAGTGTTATTCTCTTCGGTTTTTCCTCACGATGCTTCTCACGATCAAATTATGGAATTGCTGATAGGCAAATAATCGCAGTGTTTTTCTCTTTCGACGGGAGTCGATGACGCGGGGCGACGCGTGTGTATCCGGTTGCACAAGGCGGTAATATACGCTAATATGATCAATCCTCTTCCGCAGTTTCTTTCAACGTTCGACCGGCGAAGCGATAAGATCGGCGGGCAACGAACGTTGCTCGAGTAAGTTGTGCTGATCGAAAAACTGCGTCTTCGTGACACCAGGCACAAAGTCCACTTTGATCGATTTTAGCACTGCGAAATGTTCTCTGTACCCAAAATCACACCTTGCATTCTTCTGGTGCCGCAGAACGCTTAGGATCCTCCGTCACTCTCTCTTTGCTTTTCAAGGACAATTTTTACTATCAACTCCGCGCAGATCTTCGTTAGACGTTTCGTTTTGCGAAATCCCGTGATTTTATCACAATCGTTTTTTATTGCACGTTTCGGAATCCGCTGTTCGTTCCTGGATACGGTCTGTGACGTTCGTGTCACGCGGTTTGAGCCGAGCGGCGCGCAACGCGGTCACGTTGGTTGGCGAGCATAAGAGCAACTGACTCCGAATGGCCACTCCAGAGTTAACCATCCCCCACCGCGCCGTCAGCACCCTTATCTGCCGTGCACTCCGGTTGTGGCCAATTCTCCTTGGTGAAGGTATACTCCGCGCTCAGAACGCGCGTCTCTGTGTGGATGCCAGCAACTCAAAGGAGGAACGATCCGAAGAGATCCGTCCATTCGCGCGGTACCAACTACTGACTGGCTGGTCAATTGACAGATTGACCTGTTCTTACTATCCTCGTAAACTTTCATTCATCCATTCGCACGTGCCGCTAGCTAGCCGCCGATAGTTATTTTCGAGGATCTCGAGATGCTTAATCTCTAAATGTTTTATGAAAGGAGAAAATCTCACTCCAAAAGACTGAAAATTGAAGCCAGTCTTGAAAAAAGAATGAAAATATTTTTACTTTCGAAGAGTGATAGATTTTCACTCTTTAGGAGTGAGATTTTATTTTTTTGGAGTAAGATTTCATTCTTTTGAAGTAAAAGTTTCGAATGAAAGTGTTACATTTTCAATTTTAAAACAAAATTGGACCAATGAGAATACTTTCAATTAAGTCAGAGCATAATCTAATTATGTATTCCTATTTTCGATTATAGTAGATCTTGGTGCTTAAATATTTCAGTGTGAATTTATATACATATTCAATTCAGCAAACATCCAATTCGCATGCCGAAATCTTTTTCATCAGTCTTGAAATGCAATCGTGAACAGAACTATAAGTAGTAATATCACATATTAAATTGACAAACAATTTAATAATATTGATGCTAACATCACATAAAAATATTAATAGTTTAATGTTAATGTAAGAATATTAAAAACTGTAAATAATTATTGCGTAAAATATTATCTCAACTGGAATTTAAACTCGGATCTCCTGTAACATTTTCATACTTTCATGAAAAGTGACTTTAAATCAGCTTTAAAGAGATCGCCAAGCACAGATCAAAAATTAAATCTTAAAATCTATATTTTACTTATTTTTCTATTATTTCGTATATTTCAGCAAAGCCTTAAATATGAATATGAATTAAATGAATATGAATGATTAATCCAATAACAGAAGTAACTTTTAAAAAATATTAAAAACTGTTGTTTCTTTCGATTTGAGATAAATAAATATATTTCTTTTACAGCTAGATGATTATAATGCAAAGTAAATTTTTCTCTAGAAGAGCTTTTCAAATATTCAGTTGCAGACTGCAAAGCAGTAATATTTTAAAATAACATTTAACGCTACGTATATTTCCATTAAGTACTCGATGGAAACTTAAGCAACTTTGATTCTTTAGTTAGTTCTAGTCTAGTTTAGTTAGTTCTCACATCGATATAAAGTAAATTTGAACGCGAACATCAAACGAAATTTTTTCGTGTAGACCTTTCGAAGAAGCAAAGAAGATCGCTCTAAATTTGTGTACTTTTGACGCCTAGGACTTGTTAATGATATCCCTTCAACCCTGAAAGAAATCTAAAACAAAGCCGTCCTTTTCGAAGAGAAATAATCGTTAAAGTTTGCGGTTCTTGTACAGCACAGTCTCAAGAAATATTTAAAAAAAAATCTAAATATAATAAGAATCTTTATTTTTTATTATATACAATATAACAAAATAATATTTTATTCTTATTCATCGTTTTTAATATAAGATTTACCTTACGGAAAGAACGATTTTGCTAAAGTATATCATAAATTAAATACAGATCTAAAAAACAATTTTGTTGGATCATCAAATTACGTAGAATCTCAAACATGAGCAAAAGTTTTGACAAGTTTAAGCGTTCTACATAATTATTTCAATGGTCCAACGAATAATTTTCAGATTTGTATTTAGTTAAATATTTTTAAATATTTTTAAATATTTTTAAATACTCCAACAAAACGACCTTTCTTTGCAGATTTTTTTTTACTAAATCTGCACGAGGCCATATTTTAGATATCTTTTTTTAAATAAAAATAATCCATTACAAACTAATATTACATTTATATATTATTTCAATCTCTGTAAGTAAACCAAAATTTAATATTAAAAACGTTTTTAATATTTGTCATTCTTTAAATTACTGTCAATAGCACGTAAAAATTCCTGGGATTATCCCCGGAAAATGGGAATATTTGTTCAAAAGTGCCTAAAAAGAAAAAAATTAATTGTCGGTAAATTTAAGTTCAGTCTTGTGCTTCTGCGAACCCTTTAGCTCTTTATATACTGTTATTCTTTATAAACATGTTTGTTAACCGTGAGCTCATCAAAATGGTGATTCATTTTGACAGATTAAATCTGCAGCGAACAACGAGGAGCCAGTCACAGCGTTTGTGGTACCATTGTTAGCTGCGCGACGCTTCTTTCTTCACGATGACCCGGAGAAGGTTGCGATCAGATCGATTCAATTCTTAACTCGTATACGTTGTTCAAAGACTTTTCTACATGAATTTGACACACATAAAAGCAGAAAAGACAGAAAGTAGAAGATCTATTTAGAAAGGTTCTGAATTTTATAATTTTGTTAATGAACTCTTTTTATAACTTTTTTACTCTCATATCACTTACAATATTCTCTTTTTCAATTGGTACGCCTCTAAGCCATTTCTATTTTTAGAAACAGTTCTAATGGACATTTTTCAGGAACGTAAGTTCCAAATCACATTGAATGATATATTTTTTAAATCGATGATTTTTAACAAACATCACCATATTTTCAGTAATACCGAATTCTAGATGTAATGAACGGAACGGAACATATAGAGACACAGAGGTAAGATAATAATTATAACTTTCGTATGTACAGATTGCGACTAATGAGGAAAACTATGCGGTATGAACGCAAGCCGGTCATATGAAAAACTCCAATGTTTTAATGTGTTAATGTCTCGGCCATTGCTTGACTTCGCCACAGACGGAACATGTGCGAATTCTTGGTCTAGGTACGTCATATATCTACCGCGTACAGAAATATGTATTATTTGTCTACACTGCGATTCTAATAGAACTAAAAGATCTCTCTCAGTATAATCTGAGTAATCTCAGAAAACGTTCAACTCACGTTAGAAAAGTTCTATAATGATAAATATTAATTTATTTTCACAGCAGATTTAGAATGCGACATGTATATGAATTATCTATATCGAACGTAGATCAATATTTAGCGAATGTGTGCAAAGTTGGCATATATCCCTGGTAGCAAGTTGTGTCATTTTGTCATCATTTTGACGTCAACTTACCAGGGATATTGGCTATATCATCTGGAGACGCTTTTAACGAGATTTTTTTTATCAAAGAAGGTTCTGTTGAGAAACATCAAATATATGGTTATTTTAATTATCAAATTTCGTCGCTCACACGTCAAATATATACATTAGAAAATTCTCTCTCTTACAACTGAATCGAAAGCAGAAAAGTTTCTCAATAAAAAGCAACGGAGATCCCCAAGATAACGGCATTAGCTAGCTTTTCCTTCCAGCACGCGCGGTAGGATCGAGCCAACTAGAACGGATTAAGGATATAGCGTTTGTTGTAGGCGCATAGATCACGATGATGAGCCGTAACAAGTGCGTGTCGAGCGAGAGGTAGGGCGATCGTATACACGGGCATGGGGTACAAACTACAACCCGTACAACCGCGCGTTTCGAGTGCGTTCGCGCTCGCGTTCGCGCGATCGGCCGAGCGAGTTGGAGGTCGGAGGTGTATATTGGCCATTTCCGCAGGAAGCCCTAGGTAACCTGTAACCGCCATCGAGTTTCTAACTGAACATGCCACGGATCTGTGCTATCGTCTCATAACGCGATGGCATGCCTGCGCTCTGAATTTGCTCGCGCGTCGCGCCCCCAAAATGATAATTCTCGCAGATTTTCCGCTCCCGATCTCGCATCCGATTCCGACCTTTCAGTCTTTCCACAGTGGCTCGCACTGAAGAACGAGAAATGCTAATTCCTTCCAGTAGACATGACGGAAAGTTCTCTCTATTCTCTTAGAGGCGTTCTTCTCATGAATATATGTCTTTCACTAAAAAAAATAAAATTAAACGGAATATAAACAATTTTACAAAGTATTTAAAAATTTAGTTAGATACAGATCTGAAAGTAATTTTGTTGGACTATCAAAATAATTAAATAATTATGAAGGATACTCGAATTGGTTGTTAAATGTCAAATTTTCCAAATTCTTTGGAGTGAAATCTCATTATTTTAGAATAAGATCCACTCCAAAAAATTTATAAAGCCTTTTTGCAGCATTGCTCATTATGTCTAAGTTTTTTATAATTTTTGAATGGTTTAACAAAATTATTTTCATATATCTGTCTACATTTTTAAATACCTTAGCACAGAATTGTTTTTTTAGTGTAAACATTCACTTGTTATCTGTCTTATATAATAATATATTATTTATATTATAATATTATATATTATATTGTTATATATATATATATCCACTGTAATATAGATGAAAAAAAAACAAGAAAACTCTTTAGAAAGACTAATGTAATAAAATAAAATATCATTATCTACTCGAGATACATATAACCGCTTGATAAATTATATATTACACATATTATATGCGGCGTATGATTTATATGATAAAATCAGAGCAATTTCGCCTGAGATAAGATCAATTTATTTTCAATTCAATTTGATACAAAGTATGATAAAATTACTAGTATACTAACTTTATGAACGGAAAAGGAGAGGAGAGGAATTGACTATACAATTGACGGGTTAATTCGCGGTGACTGTTTTGTTTTGCATGCAAAGCAATTGTTGAATGAAAAGAGCGGCTTTTAAGCGCAAGTCGTCTAGACAACGCTAGTTCAGACCAACCCCGCTTTACTCGATACACCATAATTCGGCTCTATTAGACTCAATAAAGTGTATCAGAGAGGAGGAATGCGCGCCCCGAGCCAATGATAAATGCGATGTCCGTTGGACCGTTCGTGCGCCAGAACACACGACGTATGTGGGGTGCGGGTGGACACCTTAATTTAGATTG